TCCATATATATGTCAAGACTGCAAATAGTTTATTCAAATATATATTTAGAATTAAATGCAGTACCACAGAAATTTGTTTTGATGTCAATATTACTTTTTATTATATAAGTTCTGATAGTTAGTACACCTATCACACACAAAGATCAAGCAATCCAATTGAGATGGGGGAAAAAACAAATCTCCTTGATTAATGACTTTAAATTAAGAGAAAGAAAAGCTAACTTCTTGATTTTATATAGAATTCTAATTAATAGAGAATTACGTCTACCCTTATCTTCTCCTTATCAGTATTATTGTTTTTTGATACCTTTATATTATTCTTCGATTTTATGACTATGGTTGTTGTTTCAGGTTAGCTTTATGATGATAGGCTATAATTACGTATTTTAGTCGATTATTACACTCTAATTTACTGCACTTTAGTTGAGTTTGCGTTTTAATCGTTAGTGTTTTGCACTAATTGTGTGTTTTATGCCTTGTAGGAGTGATTCCGAGCTATATAGATATTATGGAATGAATTCAAGTGATTTGGAGCTTTGAAGTCTGAGTAAAAGCCCAAGGAATTAAGCCGGGATCGTATTCGGGGATCGACGGATGATAGAGCAACAAAACGAAGAATCGAGTAGGCATATTGAGCACTGTCTAGTAAAATGCACATAACTTTTCGCTCAGAACTCCATTTGTACTCCACAATATATGATTGGAAAGCTAACTCAAAGCGCTACAACTTTCATGTTTTACGTTTTTCCAAATTCTAAACAGAATATGGTGAAAAATGCGGTCGAAACTGCAACCGCGGACCTGAGGCGGGCTGAGGCAGTACACTTGCCAAATACCGCGTCCGTACCGCGGTTGACCGCGGCCGCGGCTGTCCAGACGTGAAAAATTATCTTTTTTCGCGTAGGAGAAGGTATAATTGTTTGGTCCCGACCCTACTTGGTATATATACATGGAAAAACGGTATTTTAAGAGGTTGGACACACTTTTGACATAACTTAGACCTAAGGAGGCTAAGGAGACCGGAGATTCGACCTAAGGAGGCAAGAACACAATAGGAGCAAGGCGGGGAATTCTTCTACGAGTTTTTCCTTCCTCTTCCTATCTTTTATTGTTGGTTATGACTTTTTGTTCTGTAGTTTTACATACTATTATGAATAGCTAATCTGTTATCTAGGGTTTTGATGGAACCTTTTGTAGGATAAATTCTTCTTATGTTTTTATATAATTGAGCCGTTGGATTTCTCTACTTGTTCAACTGCGTGTTTAGTGTTGTTGATTGAATGACCATCGATTAACTGTGCCTATTTATTATGTTTTGCTTGAGAAAGGATATATATTTAGGTGGTTGTTGAACAACGTCACTCCTAACGTATGTGAGAAATCAATACAGCGGGTTTAAAGGCAAGTTTAGAAATAACAAAGCCTTGACGTGGTCATACTGAGCGGCTAGATAAAGCCAACTAGCGTAGTTCGAGAGAATATGTCTAGTAAATTGTTGTAGTTGCTCGAGAGAGAATTACGGCACCTAAAGTGCTCACGATCAGTAGAGAATACATGGGCAAAATTTGTAGGGAACATAGCTAGAAGGATTCCGACAATTGGGGAAATCATAACTCTAGATCTCTTTAATTTAGTCTCCAGCCCTTTGTCTCGTTAGTTGATAATTTTACCGCTTTGTACTATTTGCAAGTTAATTAGTTAGAAATATAAATCTCAATCTTTATAATTTAGGAAATTGTTCAAACTTGTCTTCTTAGTGATATTAAACAGATATAGCTAAGCCTTAGTTCTCTGCGGGATTCGACTCCGGACTTTTAGACCGGATTATATTTGCAGCGACCGCTTATCCTTTTTAGGACTAGAGTTGGGCGTGATCACTTTACTATTTTTTTATGTCGGTACCTTTGTGTTCTACTGTTTTTTTTATTATAGCTTGCTTTTATACTCTCCTAATTTTCATACTTATTTTGAAAACGATTTTCATGAGTCGAGGTCTATCGAAAATAGTCTCTCTACCCTGCAAATGTAAAGATAAAGTCTACCTATACTCACTCTTCTAGACCCTACTTGGGGATCACACTGGCTATGTTGTTTTTAGTTGTTGTAAAGAATAATTACTTTGAGATTTGAATGAAGATTGGAGAATATTGTTCCTAAAAAATATTTACTAAATGAAGTTACTTAAAAGATAATAATGGATAAAATTTTTATGATAAATATTGTAATAATAACGATAACATGATAAATATGGAAATAGACCTATTATCACAAGTTAAATTACATTGAAAGTGTAAAAATAATATTTGAAGTGTCAGTAATAAGACTGAATGACCGAGTGCATAAAATAATTTTCACTCATATTTCTTCCTTTTCGTGTTTCTTGTTCTGACTTTCTTGTTTATTTGAATCACCAAATTAGCGCGTATTTTATGGTTAAATCCTGATTAGTCGCTTCAGTTATTCTCCTCCTCGTACATATGAGTACATGACCCATTCAATTTATTAAGTTTTTCTTTGTATAAGCCAGAACAGTCAATAGTCAAAATCCTTTTTAAAAAAATCCAAGTCCTAGTAACATGTACCACGTCGTCTCAGGGGTATAAACAGTTTGTTACGAAGCCTCCTCATTTTTTTTTACGGAAAAGGACCAAAAATGCCCCTAACGGCGGTGGTTTCTATGAAGCAATAGGTTAACGAATGACATATATATAGGGGCGAAGGTGCATAGTCCTAAGGGTGGTCAATTGACCATTCTTCGTCGAAAAATTACACTGTATATATAGGTAAAATATTAGATTTTAATGGTATATTGAACACCTTTTATTGGGAATTTTTTTTCCCTATTTCAAGTTTGAATACCCTAGATAAAATTTCTGGCTTCGTCACTGCATGTATAAGTCAAATCTAAATAGGTTAAGAGCATTTTTGGCCTTTTTCATTTTCTTAAAACCATATTAATGACAAACCTTAAACGAGCAAAATCAATGAATAATATTAACACTTTCTAGCTCGTGCATAACAAAATAAGCCTATGGTTAAAAGCTGAGTGGCTTCCACTTTCTGATTGATTCTCCATTAGACAAATTCAATTCCTAAGTTTCTCTGTATGCTCAAAGCAGTCAATGGTCAGAGGCCTTCCACCAAAAAGAAGGCTGTGCTGAAAGAACAAAGACTTGATTTTTTGTATGTCACAAAAAACTTGTTTAGTTCAGATTTCATGTGGTATAAATACACATACTTTTTCCCAATGACTCATCATTCTTTCTAAACACCCTTATTTTAGTGTCTTCAATTGTCCAAACAACATTAACATGAGACTTGTTGAAATCAGCAGCTCTAATTGTATAATGAAACCATTCCTCCTCTTTCTTGTTCTTCTGGTTCTTTCAAGGATTGAAACAAATGAAGCTACAAGAACTCTTGATGACACTAGTCCTCTTCTATTACCATCTCTGCGAACTCCTCCTCCCTTTAAGACTCCATCACCCAATCCAGGAACCGGTGCCAGTGTCAATATGGCAACCACAGTCACGGAAAGGAACTTTGTTGGTCGTAAAGAAGCTACAAGAACTCTTGATGAAACTAGTTATCTTCTATTACCATCTTTGCAAACCCGTCCCCCAGTTAAGACTCCATCGCCCAATCCAAAAACCGGTGCCAATGTCAATATGGCAAGCAGAATCACCGAAAGGAACTTTGTTGGTCGTAAAGAAGCTGCAAAAACTCTTGATGAAAGTAGCCATCTTCTATTACCATCTTTGCAAACCCGTCCCCCAGTTAAGACTCCATCGCGCAATCCAAAAACTGGTACCAGTGTCAATACGGCAACCAGAGCCACTGAAAGGAACTTTGCTGGTCGTAAAGAAGCTACAAGAACTATTAATGAAAATAATCATCTTCCATTACCATCTTTGCAAACTCGTCCCCCAGTTAAGACTCCATCAGCCAATTCAAAAACTGGTGCCAGTGTTAATATGGCAACAAGAGTCTCTGAAAGGAACTTTGTTGGTCGTAAAGAAGCTACAACAACTCTTGATGAAACTAGTCATCTTTTATTACCATCTTTGCAAACCCGTCCCCCAGTTAAGACTCCATCACTCAATCCAGGAACCGGTGCCAGTGTTAATATGGCAGCCAGAGTCACTGAAAGAAACTTTGTTGGTCGTAAAAAAGCTACAAGAACTCGTGATGAAACTAGTCATCTTCTACTACCATCCTTGCAAACTCGTCCCCCAGTTAAGACTCCAACACCGAATCCAGGAACCGGCGCTAGGGTCAATATGGCAACCAGAGTCGCTGAAAGAAACTTTGCTTGCCGTAAAGAAGTAGCTTTTGTGCCTCCTCTTCCACCTTCTACTAATGCATCCCCTCAGAATAATGTCCTTTGTGATGTGTTCACGGCTAAGTCTCAGAAATAAGCTTATCAAAAACTACTATGAACATCTGATAACAAGAACTCCTTATGGGTAATAATAGTATTCAATTAATTCATACATTTAACAAAGAATAAATCAAGACTTACAGGCTAATGTACTGTGAGAGTCTTTCACACAAAAGGTGTAGGTTCAATTGTTTCTGTTGTTTCATTTTTGTTGTACATGTTACCATACACCATAATTTATGTATGGCAAAGTGGCACAGGCGACAGCATGCCTGCACAGTTTGTTGGTACAGTGGATAAAAAGAACAATGTTGATCAATTGTCTTTGTTTTATGATATTTGGAATTTATTGACATGATAATGCGCCTATAACTTTTTCTGTCAATGCCAATGCTGCATAATTTTCAGATGTCATCCTTTAAAATGCAATCTGAACAATACTTTGATGAAAGTCACATAATTTAGTTTTGGCATACTGAACGAAAAGCATAAGGATAGCAGGAATGCACAATTTGCTAGAATGGACTGATTCCAGATTCATTCCCTCGATTAGTAAAGGAACAAGAAAATATTACGTACAAACTAACAAGCTACACATTGAAGCTCATACACCAAATCATCGACGAATGTATAATAATCTGAACACTCTGATACTAATCACCAGTTAACAAGAAATTTACTTGCATTAACGACAAACATACACAGCATGAGTGACATCGTCTTGAAACACCTGAATCAGTCGGAAAGAGCAGCTGCTAGTATGTCCTTCAAATTCTCATCGCAGATATGATTCTCATCAAATTAAACATATATAATTATGTAGTCTGCAAAATATAATGCAAACTTACGAGCTAGATATTGATGCTCATACATGACAAATCGAGGAAAGGACAACATCTGACCACTCTGATATGGATCACCAGTTCCTTAATGAGAAACAGCTTGCATTATACTACAAACAACGTACATATTATAACTAACCTTATTTTTTAAACACCTAAATCATTTGGATAGAGCAGCTGTCAGCTTTTCCTTCAAATTATCAGCAGCACCACCAGGAGCTCGTATAGAGAATGTGTGGACGATTTCACTGTTTTCTGTTAATGAGACATTGGATTCTTGTGCCACTATTTGATGTTCTTGAAATGTCTTCAGAACTCTAGAAACAGGGTGAGCATTCAAAGGGCAGCCTACTCTTACAACTGCATCATCTTGTCTTTGATGAAAATCAATTTCCAGGGGAGTCTGCTGCTTTTGCTTGTCGTTTACCATCTCCTTCTCAGCATCTAAAACCCTAATTCTAGCCTGAAGATCCGTTATATATGCAATTGCATCTCCAAGCAGCGATGCTTTATCCATCTTTGAGATATTTGGAACAACTGCTCTTAAAGCGTAAAACCTCTGGTTAAGCTTCTCACGCCTCTGCCTCTCTGCTTCAACATGATTCAATGCTTCTTCTCTCCCATTGGCCGGCTTTCTGCCTCTCTTTCTTGGTTTCCGTTCATCTAATTCAAGTTTCCCTTCACCTTCATCGCTTCGATACCCATTCGATGAGTTTCCATAAACTTGAGAACTACCTAGCGCTGCTTGTACTTCGTAAGTATCTGAAGCAAAACTCAGATCTTCTTCCGCCTTTGGAGAAAAATTTATGCTGATGGGACCCGACTTAGAACCACCGAGACTGAGTTCCCGCCCAAATATCTTTGGAATTGCTTTAGGCTGTGGAGGATTAGATACCACCACCGATGTTTTCACCATCTGAATCAAATTCTGATCTTCTGCAATTGACTTTAGAGAACCTAGCTCCACGACCCCTGATTTCAGGGGAACAAATACTAGTGTCTCAAATCCAGCCAATTTTGCTAGATAAGATCTTGATTGGAAATGTTCTAAGCAACCTTTTACTTCAGAAACCCATATTGATCTAGCAGAATTAAATGATTGAGAAGGACTAGAAGGCTTCTCAAAAGGGAAGACATAATACATTGACGTGAGATAAAACACCTCCACGTCCGAGACAGAATCCAACTTGGCAGTAATATTATCATCTTCTGACCCTCCAAAGCAAGTGTGAATCTTTTGAAGAACAAGTTTTTTCTTGTTTCCATCCATCACTTTCTGATGCTGGGAATCATTCCCGGGTTCACTCTGCCCCATCTTTGCTTCTCGGCAATGTCCATCACCCCATATTAAAGCTGATTTTCCCGATTTCGACTTTGCAACTTGCCAATAGATTGCATAAGTCCAATCAAACCCCTCGACAATCTTGCAAAGCGCCTGCTGTACTCCCAAATCTCCTCTCGACGAAGTAAATTCCGTGAGCATGCTATTCGAAGCTGACCAAGTGAAAAATTCTACAGCTTCTCTACCTAATATCCCTTCCATAATAACCCTTTCCTCTTCCTTCATAAAATGTTTCTCCCCCATATTTAAACCACTCAAAAATCCCCAATTCCACACAATAGAAGTATCCTTAAAAGTTGATTCTTTAATTCAAATCCAAAGCCTACGCCAACCCAAATATTGATGGAATACTATGACAGAGCACTCCCAGAATCATGAAATACCTCTGGCAAACCCTAGAAAAAATCCATTCTCAAAAAGTTCAAATTTTTAACACTAAACATACCATAAATTCAAGAATTGGAATATCATTTAGACATAAGAGAAGACCCACAAAATGAAAAACAGATACTAATTCTTGAAAAAAATGGTACTTTTATTAGCAAAGAGAAAAACAGAAAATCCTTCAAAAATGGGAACTTTAGTAGTCAAGTAGCGAGATTCACTTCACCAATTACAATTCTGAGAAAAAAACCCCTATATTTGAAGGTGTTTTATATAAATTTTAGTACAAAATGAATAACAAAAAGCCAGAAATGGGGAACATAAAGGAAAATAAGTTGAAGAAACAAAGTTGGATATGGAAGTAAGAGTTACCTGAAGCTGAAACGAAGATGGTGAAAGGTGCATGTATATGAAAGGAGAAAGATTTGCTCGTTTATCATGTGGACTTCATCTGTAGAATTTAGATCTGAATCACAAGAACTATCAAGTATTATTATAAAAGTTTCTTTTTAATTAGGGTAGATAGTGTGATTGTTTTATTTTTTTGGGTGGATTACGTGGACCTTTTCTTTAATCTAACAATTATTTTTTTTTCAATTTTAATTTAACAAAAGTAGGCAGTTCCTTTTTGAATGGTTTCAAATATTGGTGAAATTATATTTCTGGTGCTTAATTTTTAAGATCCTATGAATTTTTGCCATTCTTTTTTGAATTGGTGCACATAAAGTGTTAGTCTTTCTTTTGTTTCATATTTTCTTTTTATCTCGATTAGTTTAAATTCCTTATAAGGTCCGTTAAAGAGGAAAATACTATCTAGTACTTCCTTAGGTACACTTTAATTAATTTTTTGATCTTTTTTGTTATCCATAATATTTGATCTTTTCAGATATCAAGAAGGAATTAACCTTTTTTTTTTCAAAGTTACCCTTGGAGTAAAGAAAAGGAGAGTCTTGGCGTAACTGGTAAAGTTGCTGTCATGTGACCGGGAGGTCACGGGTTCATGCCGTGAAAACAGACTTTGAAGAAATGCAGGATAAGGCTGCGTACGATATGTCCTTGCGATCGGGCCCTTCCACTGACCCCGCACATAACGGGAGCTTAGTGCATTGGGTTGCCCTTCTTCCCTTGAGTAAAGAGCCTAAGAATATTTGTTATATTTTCAATAAACAAATTAAGATTAATATGGTCAATTTCATTCTCAAAACTCGTCCCTAAGAAATCTGGTTAAGAATAACAATATATTATTCATCTACCACAATTCTTAGCTTAACCGCATTAATCTTTGAATTGGTAAAATTAATTTATAATGGCTGTTTGATTTTTCAAGTGGAAGAACGGCATGCCCTTATATACATGACACATTTGTTAGTCTTTTTAGGACTCAAAATTTGTTTTCACTTATTTATTCCTAATAAATTTTGCGATGAATTTTTTATCATATATTTCAAGAGTTAAAGAAAAAACTTGTGTAAACTACAGTCCATACACATTGAATTATTTTCAGAGGCCCTTTTTTCAATTTTTGATTTTTTACAAATGTTGTTCAAATAGCTTAGAGCCCGTTTGGACATAAAAAAAAATCCCCTTTTTTTCAAAATTTTTTTACTTTTTTCGAAATCAGCGTTTGTTCATAAAATTTTCAATCTTTACTTAAAGATGCATTTTGAAAATTTTCGAAATTCGAAAAACTCCAAAAATTATTTTTCAAAATTTTCACTCAAATCACTCACAAAACTTCAAAAACAACCCAAAATTATATTCATGTCCAAACACAACTCTAAATTTCAAATACCATTTTCACTTGAAAACAAATTTCCCCCTATTTTAAAATTTTACAATTCTTATGTCCAAATGCCCACTTAATTTTTGTTTAGATAGCAGCCAAATACATGTATCAACAGTAGGTCAAATCAACAATTTTTTACTAGAGCAGTTGAACATTTTGCTCTAATGAAAGGTATTCACATAGGAAAACTCATGAAGCAAAGAACAAGAAGGAAGGACAGTTAGAAATTCTCTCCAACTTCTCACTAAAGAAGAAAGCATCCTTCTTCACCAGCCTAACCTAAGTCAGTAGCAATGGTAAATCTAAGCCAATTAAACCAAATCCCTTCCGAGCCACCTGATATAGATCCTAAATCCACTAATACAAAGCCTAATAATCTCAGTTCAAGTTTGAAAGATAAATTAATAGTAGGTGAGCATGGTTCCTTAATTAGTGTTCTAACTCCCTCTCTTGCCAATTATCCATCATTAGCACAAGGATCAAGTCTGCCACCTTTAAATCCCATTCCTACAGGTGGTCACCAAATTCACCTCTCTTTGGAAGAACAAAATCACATCTATCAACTATGGAGATTCTCGGTCATTATCAAACTACATGGTAAAAGAATTCAACACAACCTTCTAAAAAGAAAAGTTCAAGAGATCGGGAAAATTCATGAAAACTTTCCCTTAATCGACCTAGGGCGGACTATTATATCACTAAATTTAATAGTGAGGAACACGTGTTTAAAGTTCTTCACTATGGTCCGTGGTTTATTTTTGAACATTTCCTTTCAGTCCAAAGGTGGAAACCAAACTTTGTAGCAACGGAAGCAAATAATTCTCTTACAGCTGTTTGGGTTCGACTACCACAATTACCAATCGGTTCTATGATGGTATCATAATAGAGAAAATAGGCAACACCATTGGGAGATTATTAAAAATAGATGTCTGTACATCCTCTACTCTACGGGGCCGTTATGCAAGATTGTGTATTGCACTACCACTTGAGGAGCCAGTTATTCCATTTATTCATATTGGAAGCCACAAGCAAAATGTTCAGTACGAGGGTGAGAATTTCTTCTGCAAAACCTGTGGGAGGTTAGGTCATACAACAACAAAATGTCCAAATAACAAAACCATGCCTACTAAGGCACCAACACTGCGAAACCACTCGACTCCCCAATCCAATGCAAGCAATGATTCCCAAGAAATTAATGAAGCGGTATGGCAGACGGTTAGTTTTTCAAAGAAAAAAAGAGCCAATGGAAGAAAGAATGTGGCAAGCCAAAAGCCAGGTATGCTAAACTCTACACCACCTGAAATACCAGGTACGTTAACTTCTTCTCAACACCCTAATACTAACTATATTCCTAATAGCAATCAAAAATCTTTTAAAACAAAGATCCCCTCTATTGATTCTGATCCTTCAACTATTAATCATGCTACCAGGGGAAATATATTTTTTGCTTTGGAAAATCCGCCCTTAGATCAGTATAAAAAGAAACCAAAAACTAAAAAAAAAAAATAGAATACAAACCTAAGTGTAGACATGTAATTTTTGACTCTACCCGAGATTTTACATATTTTAGCAATTAAATATTTAGTTTAGGCCTAATATTGCTATTTCAATTAATTTTGACTCTTTTACTTTATTTTGTCACAAAAATAAAAATAATATAAAAAAAATCTTTTATTTAGGTAATTGATATTTTATCTTGTTACTTTTAGTTTAACTACCTTTCATAAAATTCAAAAATACCAAAATAGTTCCACTTTGTTTTCAGGAATATTAGTAGTTTGGTAGGAATATTATTTTAATTTTGCAATGATTTTAATCTAATTTCATTTTTATCTTTTAGTATGATATTTGAAAAATACCTAAAATAGGTTTGTTTTGACGGTTAGTTTTATTTTAATAGTTATTTTACTTAAGTAGGATTAATTAGTAAATGGGGTAGTATTTTTAGTCTTGTTCAAGGAGAAAGAATAAAATTTGGGCTCAAACAACCCATTTTTTAGGCCCAATTTTCGGACCCTTAGCCCATAAACCAAGCCCAATACCCATAAAATCCTAACACTTTAAAGAAGACCCCTTCTTCTTCTTTAACCCTACACCTAACCCTAGAGAAGGACATTATCAGCAGTCGTCACCCCTAAAACCGCCGCGCACCCTTCTCGATCTTCTTCTTCTTCAACACCAAAAAAACCCAAGCAGCAATCAAACATTAAGACTTTCAAATTTACCAATGGAGTCAAGACAACCCAGGTAAACCTGAGCTCAAGGAAAATCCAGCCAGAAGCCGCCGCACCATACCTCCACCATCAGACCCCGCCGCCCAGCTCGCCGGAGAAGAACCAGCCACAACCCGCCACCCCTTCCTTAACCAAAAAAAACTCGCCGTAATTCCTCCATAGCCACCACCCAACTCGCCGGAAACCAACAGCCACCACTCCTATTACCGTCATATACACCCTCAACTAAAAGACCAAATCCCTCGCCACTCTCATCTCTCCCCAGATTCTCAAACACACACGTGCACACACGAAAACAGAGAGCAGACGGACAGAACACCAAAAAACCAAAAACACATACAGCCGCACACCACACAAGGAAAATCAGCGGCAACCACGAAAAAGAAAATCACAGCAACACCCACACAAAAATCGGCGCCCTCTCGCCATCTGGTTCTCTCAAACAAAGAAAAATTCAAACACACGCATAGATACAGTAGGGAGGATCAGGAATAGAAATCTGGGGGAAATTTTTTGGATAGAACTTTCCTTCCTTTTGAAGTTTCTGTTTTCATTTCAGAAAAACAACAAAAAAAAATAGATAAAAATGTTCTGTTTCTTCTCTTTCAATTCTCGAATTTTGGGGTTTCAAAGCGTGGATTCCGATTGAGCTGGGGTGCCAACTTGAAGTTTGTTTCCGGTCAAGGTTGTCGTTCTTGAGTTCCGATCAATTGTTCGTTGGTTGTTGCTGTTCTTTTTAATGCACATCGGGACAGAGGTTAATTAAAAACTCATTCAAGGTTCATTCCTACCTTTAATATTTTGCCTCATGATGTTTGTTACATATGTGTTTGAATGGCATATGCGTATATTTTCCATGACTATACGTGATATTTTTGATCTTATGATGAAATTGGCTAATTAATACATTTCAACATTATTGATTTCATCCAATGGTGTTGGCTCTTAAATTGAATAAGGAGTGAAAATTTGAAAGCTTATTTGGAATGGGTTGTTGGGCAAAATTAAAAGAGATTTAAGTGTAGGATAAATTATATTGTACTTTTATTCTTGTTTTATTTACTTCTTAGCTAGTAGCATGTTTAGGCCGGCCACATTTAGGTAGGCAAGCCTTAGGATTTTTGTTAGTTTCGAGGCGAGAGGTCGTTTCCTTAGTTAAAGTTATCCTGAAAATGCCCCGAAGGATTTGTATATATTGTTATCCGGGATATGCCCCATAGTATCATGTATATGGAGGCCATGACTAACTTTGTGAAAAAGTATAGTATATATTAGTATTTAGGATTTTACTTTAATTTTCTTATTTTATTTTTTTCGTTTAGGTAGGGACGACCTCGAGCCTCTGGTGTGTTTATTTTTCTTTTTCTTGTGTTCTTACCTCAATTTGAATATCTTAAAAGCCAACTTGATCATGTATGCAACCATACTAGTTACGGGACTCGGGGAATGCCTAACACCTTCTCCCCGAGTCAAATGAACCCCCTTACCCGAATCTCTGGTGCAG